ATATTATTCAAGAAGTATAATTCAATGAGATAAGGTTAGAAAGACAAAGGTAGAGGTGCTGACGAATCCAGAAGATTAGGATTTAAGATAGCTCAATAGATGGATGTACTTGCGCCATTGCAAACGATTTTGAGCCATGTCGTTCAAAGTCTCTAACCATCGGTTACTATCGTCTCGCCAACCCCAACCAGGTATTCTATACCTACCAACATGACTCAGTTCAGTTATCAGTGACTTCATGGACTAGTGCCATGTTTTGTTTTGGTTCTCCAACCTACTACACCACAAAACATCTCTCGTCGAGACAATCTGTGGTTTGGCACACATAACACATGTCCCAACCACTTCAACTGATGAAGTTTCAGTATTTCATCAATTGATTTACCAACCCTACCTAGTACTCGTTTCCTAACGACAGCATTACTTACTCGGTTGTCCTAGGATATACGAGCAATGCCTCAGAGGCATCTATGATCGAATGCTAATAACCTACAAACATCCTCAACTCCTACCGGTCATAAAGTAGGACCGAGCGAACTGTTGCTCGGTAAGCCCGTCCTTTCGTTGGTAAACGGATACCTTGCCTACGCTATAAATGACGTAAGTCGACAAAAGCTAGTCAAGCCTTGGAGAATACTGGTCGGTGACCTATGCACCATTGGCGGGGTAACTGGTATAAGTAAGTAGGCAAGTAAGTCAAGCCCTCTGCATCCATGCCGAGATTTCGTCACACATCAGGCTATCAGCACTAATGAGACTCCCACGATAAGTGGAGCGGTTAACACACGCAACTGCTTCACTCCCTATCACTAGTTCAGGTGTTGATGCAAGCCAATCCTGAAGTAACATTATGCATTTTGTCGGAGAGAATCGTATCCCGAACATGCTTGCATCGTTGTCTGAGGTGGTTAGAAAACCCTGCATTTTGTCGGCATCTTCACCAAATAGAACTATATCATCAGCATATTCTAAGTTAACAAGTGAACCTCTTGGGAAAAAGTTCAACTCCTCAAGAGTCAAACGACGATAGTGTTATCTTTAAAAGCATGTCTACAACAAAGTTAGATAAGAATAGGTCATTGTTCTTGCCCGCTGTTCTGGAATGGGTACGGCATCTATCCAACGTGTAGCGTTTTTCCCGCTGCTGGGACACGGAGACAGGCACACTCTCTCGACGCCAACAACTGTGCCCTCGACTCCCCATCCATACTCGGCAGCGTACGGCGCAGCAACATCGTGAGCTCCACGGACAGCACCAACGGGTCACCATCAGCCGACAGTCTCGCCAACCGGAACCTCTGCGGCGCCTCCTTCCTGTCCACCGGGCTGTGGAACTCCGTCATCAGCCGCCCGGTGACCATCTCCCCGGCGGCACCGTCCAGGCTGTCGTATACCGCCCTCGCCTCACCTTCCCGCAGCGTCCCCAGCACCGCCAACTCCGCCACGAGCCCCTTCACACCCACCAGCCTCACCGTGGCCTTAAACTCCTCCAGGAAGCTCCGCAAATCTCCCTCCTCCAACTCCTTCGGCCACAGGAGCTTCCTCCTTCGAGCAGGCAGCGACAACCCTATAGTACACTACTTGAAGTAATCAATCCCGATGACAGTTCACCATAAGCTCTCATTCAGCCAGTAATATCCAAGTAGAGAGTTTTTAAAAGGTTAATTTACTTCTGTAGTACACCGTTCAATGACAAACACTTCCACAGATAATAATCTAATATATTTTGTCTTTTGGTTTTGTTTATTGAATTTTAGGTCTTGGCCACAGCGTTTGGCACTGCAACCGGTCATGTGAATGCTGCATTGCATTCAGCTGCTGCAGCAGCTCATGCAAATTTAACAGCTGCGGCAGCTGCTGCTGCGGCTGCAGCTGGCAATCCTGGTGGTGGTGGTGGTGGTGGTCATGCTCAATTGGTTACACATCAAGGTGCAACTTATTTAGTACAAAGTAGTCAATTGATGGATGATGATGGATCAGCTATATCGCATACAGCAAAAGCTAGTCCTATTACTGTAAGTCAATAGTCAATATGCATTGTATTGTCTGTCTAACTATCTATCTATCTATCTATCTATCTATCTATCCAGACATCTATCTATCTATCTATCTATCCACACATCTATCTATCTACCTACCTACCTACCTATCTATCTACCTATCTATCTATCTATCCACACATCTATCTATCTATCTACCTACCTACCTACCTATCTATCTATCTATCTGTCCACACATCTATCTATCTATCTACCTACCTATCTGTCTATCTATCTACACATCTATCTATCTATCTATCCACACATCTATCTACCTACCTACCTACCTACCTACCTATCTATCTATCTATCTATCCACACATCTATCTATCTACCTACCTACCTATCTATCTACTATCTATCCACACATCTATCTACCTACCTACCTACCTATCTATCTATCTATCTTGAGTTATGTCTGTTACAGAACAGTATCAAATCATTGTGTTACTTACTCTGTTCGCTGTCGCTAGAGGATCTTAAGCAAGTGAGTGAGTGAGTTGTGGACGGGATTTGACAGATGCTATAGAGTCTTGTACAACTGTTACGCCTGCACATAAACACGTCAACTTGATATACTTAAACTATTACGAGTTTACCTAGTCGGAAACGAGAGCGAGGATACGGTGACACGACATGTTATTCAAATCCGATTACTACAACCCCCATACATGATATGAAGTAGAACGTGTATACTACAAGCATCCAGAAAGTACGAGGTCCGAATCCAGAAGAGAATCAGGATCCCGGACTAGGGATCCGGGACCGAGCCCTGGTCCTAGTCGTCGTCGTCGTAAAATGTTACAGATAATGCGTATTTATACATTTTGGTCGAATAAGAAACAGCATCGAAGTCTGTGGCATTGACAGTAAAGACGACCAATAGGAAGTAACATTTGAAATGACATTGATAGTCAGGACGACCAATAAGAAACAACATTGAAGTATTTGACTTTGACAGTTAAAACGACCATAATTTTGACCAATAGAAATCGACCAATAGGATTTGACCAACAATTCTCTTAGGATGTTGGATTAATATTCTAACAACAACGTTGTTCAAACTATTTCCAAGTGTCAGTGAATAATGCGCTATGTGTACAATTCACCGAAACAACATTTTATCCATACATGTGTGTAAGCCATTGAAGTGTTTGGGTTGAAAAGTGATTACACCAACTACATTAGCGTCAATCAACCAATCAATCAGACAAAAGCAACGTAGAACTTTGTACATACGTACGTACGTACATCAGTGTTCAAGTTGCCATACTACAACATTAGCACAGAAAGATGCAATTTTCACTTTTAAATCTCATAGTAGTAAAGGTAGTACAGAAGTATTAGCAGTTATTGGAGAGATTAGGGTTGGAAGATGTTATTCAAAAAGCGTAATTCAGTGAGGTAAATTTAGAAAGATAAAGATAGAGGTGGTGAAGGATTCAGAAAGTTAGAATTTCATAGAAAATAGAGAGTAAATGCACCCGCGACACTGCAAACGGTTTTGAGCCATGTCTCTGAGGGTCTCTAACTATCGATTACTATCATCTCGTGGACTCCAACCAAGTAGTCGACACCTACCAACATGACTCAGTCCAGTTGTCAATGACTTCATCGATTTCTGCTATGTTTTTGGTCTGCCCCCCCCTAGCTGGTGCATTGCTCGAACGCTTTGCTGAATGAACGTCCACGTTGCTAACATGATGTTGCCATAGTAGAATATCAGCAGACCTTCTAAGACAACGATTATTAAATCTGTTATTTAGTTGTGTAGACACTCGAAACTACTACAATGAAAATGTCTGGGTTCTTAAAAAATGTATCGAATTTTGAAAGTCTTGCCGAAAAACAAAACTATAACTCAGTCAGAATCAAATCATACGAGTACCTCTTTTTTCTCACCATTATTTTTTTTTCTGGCAAGTTAGTTTTCGACGGAATGGGGTCTCCAACCCCATGTCCAACCCCCCTCCTTTACCCGGGCTTGGGACCGGCAGTAGCCCCGAAGGTTCTACTGGCGGAGTTTCTCACCATTATTGAGTACCAAAATGGAATTAAATAGACAAAGTTGTTATAAATTTTCACGATCCTTTTCTAGTTTTTTTTACGACTGATGAATAAAGCGATCGATATGTGCATATACTGAAAATTAAAGTAGCGCTCATGTGCCAATCTAAGTCATGTTAATAATTTCGTCAACTGATTCTACCTTTCAATTTGACCTCACTTAGTTATCGCTGCACCTCACTCGTACGCTAACAAACACCAAAGTAATCAGGTACTAGGCTTTATGTAATGACATTTACCAACTAACTAACTAACTACTTAGGTTACTGACAGTTCGTTGAATTATTTTTACTGGTAGTTTTCTACGGGATTCGGTCGCTAACCCCCCATGCCCGCAACCCTCTTCCTTTATCCGGGCTTTGATTCGGCAGTAGCTGTAGAGGGGCTCCAAGCGGAGTTACTGACAGTTCATTACTTCTTCATAACTAATTCGAGTGTTAGATTACTATAAAACTGAATTGCTTGAAATGATATCAGACCTTGGTTCAAATCAACATTTTACCGAAATCCCATTAATGGTGATCTTACTGTTATATTGCATTAGTTTACATCCTTCAATTATGAACCGTTTTTAGTAGAATGGAATTTATCTCGGTTGTGTTTCCTAATTGTTGTTAAAGTGTTCTTGATTAATGTTAATAAAGGTGTTTGTAAGTGATTGTCACTTCTCAGTTGTGTCTACACCCTATTCATTCTTAAGGGATTTTTAAAGGAAACTAGATTATTAGCGGTAGATTGGTCATGGACAGTATGGCATGTAGGTAGGTTTAGACTATCTCGTTGGGGTCAGCGAGACAACAGTAACCGATGGTTAATAGACCTTGAACGACATGGCTCAAAATCGTTTGCAATATCGCGGCTTCACCCACTTTTTGTGTTCTCTTAAATTCTAGTCTTTTGAATTCCCCATTACCTTCATCTTACTCTTCGAAAATTTATTTCCGTAGATTATACCCTAATCTCTCCTATTACTGCTAATACTTCTACTATATCTCTACCACTATGGGATTTGAATTGAAAATTGCATCTAGGTGTGCTAATGTGATATGGCAACTTGAACTGATGTACGTACGTACGTACGAAGTTCTATGTTGTTCTTGAATGAATGACTAACTGACTGACATTGGTCATCATAATCGGAGACGCAGAACTTCGTACATAAGTACATCAATTCAGGTTGCCATACCACGTCAGCACAGAGACGCAACTGTCAGTTCAAATCCAGGTGTGATATCGATAATAGAAGTATTAACAGTAATGGAGAAGATTAAGGAGCGAAGATATGATTCGAGAAGTATATTTCAGTGAGATAAATTTAGAAGGAGAAAGATGGAGATCATGAGGAATTCAGGAGTTTAGAATTAGAGAGAGAGTACAAACGGCGGATGCACCTGCGCCATTGCAAACGATTCTGAGCCATATCGTTCAAGGTCTCTAACATTGGTGACTTTCGTCTCGCGCACGCCAACCAGATAGCCTACAACTACCAACACGACTCAGTCCACTCGTCAATGACTTCATGGATTTCTGCCATGTGTTGGTCTGGCCGCCCCCATAACATTCTTCCAACCTACTCCTACACCAAAAAACATAGCTCGTCGAATCTGGGATAGTAAAACGAAACAGCTCACTTCAGTCCAATCACGTATTCGGCTTATTTTTGTGATTGACTAGTTTTGCACGTGGCAGACAACATTGCAACCGGTGACAGGTGTATCTATATGGCAAGAGTGGCATTTATTTATTTTCCGGATTTTTATAATTTAGTTGCATACTTACCCCTAATGGAGCACAGGCCACCAACCAGCGTATTTAGTGAGTTGGGTCTTCACGGGATTCGGTCGCTAAGCTCATGCTCAATTCCTCCTTTATCCGTGCTTGGAACCTTGCAATTACCCCAGATGGGCTCCAGGTGTGCTGTTACGGGTATGAGGGCGATTGTCACTTCCCGGCTGCCCACACCGTGGAAGGTTGTTTCTTGAGGAACCTGAAAAAGAAGATAGATTAGTGTTGGTGCGTGACCGCAGAGCCCAAGGGACAACTGCTTGAGGCCGGTCACGCACGGCCTTTTTATGAAAGATTTTTTGAGGATTAGCTCCGTTCCTAAAGGCCCTTAGTGGGCACCCTTACCCAGGGAGACGGAAATCCGTGAGTTAGGGTGCGGTGTGACATTTTTAGGGCCGACCTTTTCTAACCCTTCGTTCCTTGTGAGAAGGCAGCATCGCTGCAGATGCTGGTTGTCTGAGGGAAACACCTTACTGCTGTCACACCCCTCTACAGTCAGTCAGCAGTACGACTTGGCCGTGAGACCTTGAGTAGCTGCTTTTAGTCTCATCGTTCTCCAATCGACCTGTCTGGCTGGCATGGTAGAACCTTCAGGAACATGAGTTCCAGCCAGTATAGCTCGGTTGGGTCATGACGATAGGCAAGCCCGACCACCACGTCAAGGTAGTAGCTACGAGCTATGTTTTGTAGTGTGGGAATAGGTTGGAAGAAAGCTAGGGATGGCCAAACCAAAACATGGCGAAAATCCGTGAAGTCATTGACAAGTCGACTGAGCCATATCGGTAGTTGTCGACTACCTGGTTGGGTGTCCGCGAGATGATAATAATCGATGGTTAGATACCCTGAATGACATGTCTCAAAACCGTTTGCAATGGCGCCGTTGCATTTATTCTTTCTATTCTCTCAAATTCTAACATTCCGAATTCGTCAACACCTCTAGTTTTGACTTTCTAAACTTTTCTCACTGAATCATACTTCTTGAATGATATCTTCTAATCCTAACCCCTCCAGTTACTTCTAATACCTTTACTACCTCTTCTACTCTATTGGATTTGAATTGACAATTATATTTCTGCGCTGATGTGGTATGGCGACATGAACTGATGTACTTACGTACGAAGTTGTACGTTGCATCT